TTTGCCAAACTGTTCCTTTAAATGCTGTAATGTTATGACATCATTACATTTTTACGTGCAAATTACACCTAATATTGACTATGTACATGTAATCATAGCTGAAATATAATACTGTTACATAACTAGTTATGCAGTAAATATAAATTACATATAATTTACAGTTGTTTGCAAAAGTTTGGACGTCAAACTGGTTAAATTACATGTTGTGTTGATTTCCTAAGTGTAAATAAGTGAATACGTCCTCTACAGAGACACACTACTACACATTTTAATACACAATTACTGTTTATTTGCTGAATTTAACAATATATCACATCTCATATTGTTTGTTTTCCAATATGTTAAACTGAGCAACTGAACAGAAACTGTGCACTAAAATTTACAGAAAAATACCGTATTTAAATTAATTTCCTGTAACTTATTTACACTTCAGGAAAATGTTATTTGTCCAGAAGGTGTTCAAACCTTTACATACGACAGTACATTCTGTACTGACGGGGTCAAATAGGGTTGGGCGGTAGGCCTAGAATAGTAACTGTAAATATTGGCCTTCCTCGATGACAGGTGAGGAAACAAATGACTGCAAATGTACTGTATTAGTGTTTAACTGTGTTTATTCTAATGACAACATGCTGAATATATGAATACCTGTATACGTAACATTCTCAGGTGGTCCAAAACTTTTGCACAGCACTGTGTAAATCACCTGGTTGGAGTTTAAAGGGTTAAAAAAGGAAAACACTGCAGCCTAAGGGTGGGTCAGTAGCCCAGGTCAGAAAGATAAACGTTAAAATACCAGCAAAAACACACTTCACACATTTCTGGTGCTAACAGAAAGCAGGGCTGGGTGATATGGTGAAAAAATTATATCACGATACTTCAAGACGTTTTCACGATACACGATACGTATCATGATTTTATGCTTTTCTGAGATTTAATCAATCAGAACAGACAAAGAAAAAACAGAACCTGTGCTACATGTAAATATACTACTACTACTACTACTACTAATAATAATAATAATGACAAACCTACAACTATAATGAATTTTATTCAGCGTTTTATGGACTATATCCAGTTAAACAGGCTTAATTTGTAAACAGGCTCACTTTGTAATGAAACATGGTTAGTCAGTGTTTATTACATACTAACGATATTCATGATGTGCTTAGAAAAACATATCGTCACATAATGTATCACGATAATGGTTAAATATCATCATATTACCCACCTCTAAAAGAAAGACATTATAATCAGATTAATTTAGGACTGGGAAACAGACAACATCGTTATTGTGATGGATTCCCTCGTCAAATTTCCCATAATCCTTTTCTGAGCGTATCGTGAATATCGTCAGTGCTTAGAAACACCCCAACTGCATGTTTAATTACAAACACAGCATAAATAATTCTGTTTCATTGGATTTATGCAAAACAGTGTGTAAAATATTGAATGCACATCATTGTATTCACAGTTTTTGAAAGTTTTTAGATGAAAAAAATCTAAATATATATAAACATATATATATATATAATACATAATATATATAATAAATATCATCACAGAAAGTTTCTGTAGTATCACGATATTACACTACCGCCGTATCACTCACCTCTAACTTCACATACCTAAATACAACAGCTTGAGTCTAATTAGCAATTTCCTTGTTATCTGCATTAATTTTAAAGCTAATTTAGGGCATCAAATTCCTAAACGTCCATGCAAAACCTTCACTTAGCTACAATCTGCCTGCAAAAGTACAATAAAAGTGAACACAGTGATGTAAACAGCAACACTGGACGAACGCTGCTAGTTATAACAGAGAAACACATAAACGCCCAACTTTCCCTGTGAACAGCACTGATTTAAAAGCCTATTTAGATCATTCGCAGCATTTAAGAGGTCATTTACATTCCTAACAGTCAGTGCAGAACCTTCTGTAGACCTGAAACTAGAATAGAATCTAAAACTCTGTCATTTTCAGGGCCCAAAGTCTACGTTTCCTGTGAACTGCACTGACTTTAAAGCTCAAGCACAAAAGTGACCTTCTAATTAGTGAATTTAGCTACTTTAAGGTCACTTATTGCTGACACGGCTTGTATAATCTCCATAGAAAAGCAACGACCAATAGAATGGGACGCTCTGGAGCAGCTACATGAGCCTAAGGTCATCAGGCCCAGTGCCAAGCGTGGGCTAGAGGGGTATAAAGCCCCCCAGCATTGGGCTGTGGAACAGTGGAACTATGTTCTCTGGAGTGATGGAGCTCTATCTGATACCTTTGGGATGAGTTGGTGTGACCATCCTACATCAGTACCTGACCTCACTAATGCTCAATCAAATCCTCACAGCAATGTTCCAACATCTAGAAGCCTTTCCAGAAGAGCAGAGGCTGTAACTGCAGCTCAAACTCCCTATTAACACCCCTAATTTCAGAAGAAGTGGTGTCTACAGGCTTTTGGACGTGCAGTGTTGGTCACAAACAGCTAATATGAGAGCACAGGCGGCCCTAAAGGTCAGTTCGGCCCAGCAAACCAGTGCAAAACTGAAAAGCACTTACTTTTAGTTACCTAACATACAAACGCTTGGGCGCTCCAGGTCAAGTGACATGCTTTCATTGGATTTCTAAGTGAAAGTAAGTCCTCCATAGAGAACAGACAACTTTGTCTGCTAATTTTAGCACCGAACTTCTGTTTATGTGGTGAAAAAATAAAAAATGTAACATAACCTTTTACTCCAATGCGTTGAATTCAGCATATGAGCAGTAAGTGTGTATTAAAAGGTGAGTTCTCTGTGGACACATATGGATATACGACCATATATGTACATATATCATAAGGAATCAAGTATGTATTTCAAAATATATGAGCATATATGTTGTGTTTGTGTGTCAAAGTATCAAATACTGGACATAAATGCATAATATATGGATATATATATATATATATCCATATATATATATACACTTTAGAGCAACAAAGAATATGCATAAAAATCTACATAGAAATATTATATAACATGAAGCTAGTATATATGCTGTCCATATAAGAGATGCATTTCTCAAATATTATTATATATGTGCTACACATATATGTTTGTATATGTTGATATATGGCTGAAGATATATTGCATATTTGAAAATAGCCCATTTCAAATAATTTGGCATATATGTCACATATGCATGCATATGCGAGAAACATACGTTGTCTATATATGCTAACATATATACTTGAAATGCATATATTGCCATAGATCAGATTTCCATATGAGGGAGGAGGTGTTACTTATTTTGACTGCAGAAACATAAACATGTCATTTGGCGAGGGGTGCCCATACTTTTGCATACGACTGTATATGATGCAAAGTCCAGCGTGCTGCGTTCCTTTTGATGTTGAAGGCCTATACGGAGCCTATAAGGGCGCGTTCACACTCCTAGAGTCCAGAAGCCAAAGCGTTTTTTCAGCCTCGCTGCCTTTAAGGTCTGTAAACGCGCGCGTGCGTTTGCATTCCCTAAAAAACTTCCTCAAAACTTTTTTTTATTTATTTATTTATTTTTTTTTTGCAAGAAGTGGAACAAAAGTGGGACATTAACAAGCTCCTGCATGGACGCAGCTCCGCCGCAGTTGCGTAAGACTTTGCGTGACTTAAAAATATGTTAATTTGAGTTTGGGTTGGGGGGGTGGGGGGTGGGGGGGTTGGGAGGAGGGAAGGGGGGCAGAACGGGGGAGAGTCAAAAAAACGTGTTCTTATGAGGAGCGTAAAAAAAAGAGAAGAGGGGGGAAAAATAGCCTATCGGATTACAATAACAGAGCGAGGCCCCGCCCACTCGGCCCTCCTCGCCCCTCCCTCCCGTACGCATCGCGTGAGAGGGCCGCCAGCTCTCGCGACTTGATTATGATTAATGCAAGACACACACATACATACACACACATTCACATACAAACACATACAGACACCGAAAACGTGTATTACTATCTTTCCCGGCCCTTTCGTGTGTATTTGTACTGTTTCTAATAACAACTTTATTTATTTAGTTAGTTAGGTTTTGGTGTAAAAGGGGCGTGGCGAGCTGCCAAAAGTCCCCACGACGACTTCATGTTTTCAACAAACTTAGGCTGGGTCCCCACAAAGCACCACAAAACACACACAGTTTGAATCTGCACAGTAAACAGCGAGTCTGCGGAGACTATATGATGTTAAACTCCTGCATAAACTTGTTTCTGGCTCTTTTAAGGCGAATTCAACGCTCGTGAAGGCTCGTGATGACCCTAACTAACCATCACAGCACTCTGCATAGCTTATAATGCCCAGATTAAATCGTAGGCAATGCATACTGGCTTGTTTGCATGCTCGAAACCCTCCACGCTCACTGTTCCGTTCATTTACGTTAAGCTTAAAGGGGAACTCCGTCGATTTTTCAAAATCCCTGCATAGGTCACGCGTTGTGATGTAAACAGAGTCATTCAGAGAGGTTTGTGTGCGATGCTCCGTTCTAGAGAAACTTGCCGAGTCATAATTGCTCACAGTGGTGGTGATAGGAACCAGACGTCCACCTCTTAAAGCTCCCTCCCAGACTGCCTGATGTCTGAGACATTGTTTTACGATAGTTTCGGCCTTGAAATCCATTTATGGTGGAGGGATACATAACATGTTGTGAGGCGAAGTAGTCCCCAATAACCTCCCACTATCATCAACATGATGACACGTGGTGGTTTTGGACAGTAAATAAAACGGCTGTATTAGTGTTGTTGGCATGACGACCCCCGGTTCCTATCACGACCACTGTAAAGACGTTTCTCTACCACTCTGACCACCGAACTATGCAGGGGTTTTGGAAAAAAATGGGTGGAGTTCCCCTTTAAGCACGGCGAAGCAGCAAAACAAAGCGAGTTCAAGTTCATGACAACACGAGCCCCCTTCTCTTTCTCTCTCTCTCCCTCCTTTCTTTCTCTTTCTTTCGCTCCGTGTCCCCCCCCACCCTCTCTCACCCATCGTGCACTCACATTTTCTGGACGGGCTTCTTCCTCTTCTTGCTCGCATAGGTGCCTCCGCTCCCCAACATCGTGTCCCCTCTCTCTCTCTCTCTCCTCACTCTCTCACAGTGTCTCTCTCTCACTCTCTCTCCCTTCAGCGCCTCTGATCTCCTTCAGCGCGACACAATGTGGCTCTATTTCCGCACAGAAGTTGCGAGCGCCTCAGCTCTGCTGTCCTGTCCGAGCGCAGACGAGTTCAAACGCCAAAACAAGCTCCTCGCGGGGCATTAAAGTCCTCCCGGCGCGCGATTACATCCAGAAAAAGAGGAGAAGCGAAGAAAAGGAAGGAGTCGAGAAAGTTTGTAGTCTCCTCCTGTGGACGGCAATGGCGTGAGCTGAGCGAATTTTCCTTCTTCCTCTCTCTCTCTCTCTCTCTCTCTCTC